ACAGGGTGAAAAGAAAACCTACAGACTGGGAATAAACATTTGGTAATACCATCTCAGACAAGAGTCTTATAACAAGAGTTTACAGAATACTCCTGGGCCTCCACAAGAAAAAGACTGATAATCCAATTATAAAATAGGCAAAAGACATGGAAAGAATTTTCACAGAGGATGACATTCCAATGGCAAACAGACACATGAAGAAATGCTCCAAATCACTATCAATAAGAGAGATGCAAATCAAAACCACAATGAGGTACCATCTCACTTCAGTAAGAGTGGCAAAGTTTAACAGGGCAGCAAGTAATAGATGTTGGAAAGCATGTGGTGAGAAAGGAACTCTTACACATTGTTGGTGGGATTGTAAAATGGTACAACCATTCTGGAAGACAGTTTGGCCCTTCCTCAAAAAGCTGAACATAGAAATTCCATATGACCCAGCTATTCCACTACTTGGAATATACCCTGTGAATATGAGATGTGAGGCGCAAACCGAGATTTGTACACCAGTGTTCATAGCAGCATTATTCACCGTTACAAGAACATGGAAACAGCCCAAATGTCAAACCACAAATGAATGGACTGAGAAATTGTGGTACATTCACTCAGTGGAATACTATGCAGCCCGCAGGAGCAATAACTTGGTAAATTATTATCTAACTTGAGAGGGACTAGAGAGCATTATACTGAGTGAACTAACTCAGTCCCACAAGGATAAATATTGTATAAGACCATTATTGTACAATGAGTATAAGGATCCAGGAGGGGTGGGAGAGGCTGGAAGCAGAGGGATGTGAATGAACAGGGGGAAGAGGGGGTTAATCAATGGATTGTACAATTTGGGGGGAATGAGGGAAATTCAAAGAATTTGTTCAAATTTGTATTAGAATTTTGTAAATAAACTAATAAAAAAAGAATGCACATGAATGATTGTATGAAACACAATATAAATGTAAGATTGTAAAAAACACAAGTATATGAATGAATAATAATAATAATAATGTAAAGGAATTATATGAAAACCAATTAAAAAAATAAATTGCCATCAACACCCTCAACTTGCATTGTTATGGAGTCAAAATCAATTCATAACTCACTTCCCAGTGGATTTTTAAAAGCTGTAAATGGCTTGAACAAGCTAGTGGTAAGGAGTTGCACTGCTCACACAAAGGCAGGTTTGAATCCACCAACTGCTCCACAGAAGAAAGATGAGCAATCTTCTCCTGTGCCATTTACTGCTTCTGAAAACCTGCTTGAGGGGCAGCTGGGAGTAGGTTGCAACTTGATGGCATATAACAACAACAAATTGCATAGGAAGAGTGCCCATCTTTCTCCCAGAGGGTCACCTTTGGATTAGCAGTGTAACTCCCTACCCATTCAGCTACCAGCATGGCTAGATAAATAGTAGCATCTCCACACAATGGAACCATACAGCAATGAGGAAAGATCAAGAGCTACATGCAATAGCTCTTCATACTCAAGTGAAATTTAGAGGCAGAATACATAAAAGAGTAAATGTTGGGGAGCTCTGGTGGCCTAGTGGCAAGGAGCTGCAACTACAATCCCAGAGGCACATGGTTCGAATCCACCAGATGCTCTGCCGGGAAAAGGAGGGAC